CTGTGTGTGTGTGTGTGTGTGTGTGTGTGTGTGTGTGTGTGTGTGCACGCTTGATCTCTTCGACCAGCTGACCATACAAACACACACACACACACACCAGTGGGCAGCTTTTCAACAAGCTATTTCTATGGATGATGCCCCCGAGGAACTGAGCATGGGCCGGTGCAGCCGAGCGCAACAACTCATCCAGCTCCTCTGAAGAAACCTTACCAAGTGACAAGACTTGATTGCATCGTGTCTGGCTTCTGAACATGTTCCCTTTTTTTGATAATCATTTTATTTCCTCCTCTCGTCTAATCCTCAAATGTCCCTCCTGTCTCTTCCTCTCTCTGTGTTGTCTCTACTGCAGACACACAGCTGCTGTAAAGAACTTTTAAACGATCCCAAGTAGGGCTGCTCAATTAAATCGTATTGTAATCGCAATTACGATTTAGGCTTGCAACGATTATGAAAATAACATCATGGAAATAAAACGATTTTTTTTTTTTATTGGTTTTTCAGTTGAATAAAGTTAGATACTTAAAATTATACTTAACTTATGTAAGTTTGAGAAACCGGCTCGAGATACACTTTTTGTTATATTCCATGGAATGCTCTTAAAATCCCGATAGCAATGAATATCTTAAATGCTTTGACAAAAAATCCATAAAATAATATCATCTGATTTTTGTGTGATGAGAAATTATTCAAATGGGCGACCAGAGAAGAGAGAGTTTCTGGTCAAGACACTCGTTGCATCACATGTGTATCAAATATTACTGGTATTTGAAAATTAAAGATCTACTTGAGTGGGTAGTGTAACACCACCGCTCTGTTATACTGCTGGCATTTTGACCGTGTTTAAATCTAAACATTAAACTCTCTTGGACAATGAAACACCAAACATTTTTGTAAAATAACAACACACCCAAGTTTCAAGCCTAAATTGGTATCCTCGGTTTTTAATTTTTTGTTCAACCAGCAATCTAAGACCAACAAAATCAATATTAAATGTCAGATAACAATAAGGAAAGGAAAGGAAAGGAGAGGGCAGTGGGAAAGGAGAGGGGAGGAGGGAGAAGGGGGTGAGAGAAGTTGAAAGGCTTCTTTTATCTTCTTCTAAATCAACTGTCAACAATGAAGGAAATTATCAAGGGAGACAAAAAAAATGGAGACAGGGTTCTGGAGAACGAAAGACTAACGGAAGGCAGAAAGAAAGAAAGAAAGAAAGAAAGAAAGAGAGGAGGAGGAGGGCAAACATTACAGCTCAGTGCCAAGCAAACATGAGATGCTGGGATACTTCAACAAAAAGCCAACGTCCATACGGGAGAAAAGAAACAGAGGATCAGAGGGAGACAGTTAGGTAACACACACAAAGCTGGGAATCGGAAAGTGAAAGCATTAAACGAGCAGCTGTCATGTGATATGACAGGAACAATATTCTGTTTAGGACTTCTCACCTACATGCAGCTGCCGCTCGGTATGTGTTTACCTGGCCTGCAGGTGAAGCTCGACCCAATTACAACCTTGTGAATCACAGCAGTTCAAATTGTAACTGCTAATAAAAGAAAATGTGTTCAGTCGTAAAAGTGACTAAACAAACAAAAGGCCTTTTTGAACTGCAAGCTTTTCCATTTCTTTGTCGATTTTCGAACATAGAGTCAATCCAATTCCCAGTATGAGAACAAGTATTTACACTTTCTTATTAGATGTTGTTTTAATGCTATAACACCTATAATGAACTGGAAACTAGTAAATGCACAGTAAATGATTGGCAAATATTTTGTTGATTGATTAACCGATAAATGCATTTTTAGCTTAAAGCTTTCACACTTTGAGGGGGTTTCGGTTTCTTCCATGTATTTGCTGGTTCCTTGTCACGTATAATAGTTAAGTCAATATCTTTCGGACTGTTCATTGGATTAAAAAAAAGGAACTTCAATAAGCCACGTTGGGACAATTTAATGGATGTTTTTAACTATTTTCTGACATTTAATGATAAAAATGATGAATGGAGTAACCAGGGTAATAATTGATCGGTTGTCTATTGTATGGGTTTTCTGTCAGCTTAAAGAGGGCACTTGTTTTTTTATATAAATGAAACATTGGGTTGCTGTTCAACCAGAGTGTTTCACTGTTCATCTTCAGGGACAAGAGGAAGAGAAACTGAAGAAGAACCTCCTCCTGCCGTCGATCCCTTGACCTCACAGGAAAAAAACTCCTCCACACAACCAACCGTCCAATAAGTAAAACCTCCTATCACAGGAAAGGAAGCAGGAAGCTGCTCGTTCACTCGACTAAACCACACCTCTGTTACAGTAACAGTGAAGGCAGCAGTCTTTCTACCTGTTGCGTTTAGAGAAACAGATGACTGATAGCGCAATTTATGAAAACTTCAGATATAGTTTAGCATTCTTCAAAGAAGAGGTGCGCCAATTATCATCCCAGATATGGGCAGTTTATGGGAGCCATCTGGACCAATTGAAACAGTCATTGTCAGTACATGTAAAGGGAATTCATGGATGATTATTTGCAGACTTAGAGGTAAATAGGTGTTTTTATCGACACAGGCTGAGCATATTGAGAGCATTCACTTTTCAAATGCCCATGGAGCTTCCAAGGCATACGGTATGCGAGTGTTTTTAGTATCTGATCACTCATTTTCTATACTGAAAAGTATTTTTCTGATTAATGTATTAAGTGCAGCCTAATTGGTTTATCAGTGCATTATTTTAATCCCAAGTTGTTCAACGTACTGTTTCGCCTCTCTTACTAACATACAAAAGAGTGTGTAACTTGATCCTATACCCAAAGTGAATGATGTCAGATAGAAAAAAAGGCCAAATAATATTAAATAAATATTAAACTTCAAACTTGTACAATATACTTTTATGCATATAGGTGTGTCAGAAGTGGGTATAACCTGCACTCAGGCATCAGAAAGGTAGAGTAGCGCACACACACACACACACACACACACACACACACACACACACACACACACACACACACACACACACACACACACACACACACACACACACACACACACACACACACACACACACACACACACACACACACACACACCTTTTTCGACCAGGCATACCTGTAGGATGTATTGGGCGAACAGAGATCTGCAAGGCGCAGCTGGTAGAAAGCGGAGAACCCAGATTATGACCCAGGGCAGACGGAGACCGAGGCTGGCATCACGAGTCCTCATGAAACATGGGAACAACTTCCTCATTACGCTTAGAATAACCTGTCTCCGAATATTAGAGGCAACACATAACCAGTCCATCAAACCTGAGTGACTACGTGTCAATCAAAGAGTATATTTTCACCTGCTGGAGGAGAAGATGGGTACCTCTTCTCAAGAAAATGTTGTCTATGTATGCCTGTCAAAGAAAGCACAATACGTTGACTTTCTAATGATATACTGTGAATTCTTGGCAGCCATTCCCCTTTCCTTGTACAGGCACTTGAGTGGAATAAAACAATCTGACAAACTGATTAAGTGGGATTATAACAAAGCAGCTGCAAAGTTACATTTGCACCATGTGTAGGTAGTGACGCACCATCACACAGAGCGACCCAGCTGAGTCAACTGTACCTGTTTGACAAAGCCGTAATGAGGACAGAGCACAGGTCGTTAACTCATATAAAGTGTTATTCAACCCTTGCTCTATTCATGTGTAAGACAGAGAAGGCCAAAACAACAATGGCTACCCTCCTTCAACCTGACTCCAGTCTAAACACAGTTCTTTCTCTTCTGTTATATAATTGCAGCGTATTGGATTTTTTTCTTTTTTTTTTTAAAACACTGAAAAAGGGGATTTTACAAGTGGCAGACTAAAAACCGGGGGAGGAAACTCACTTGCTTGCAATTGCATCAGTTTGAGAGCAAATCCCTGCTTACATTATGCTATTGTACATCGTCTAACACCACATTCCTGGCTCTACACACAGCCAACTAAACTCTTACAGTAAAAGAAGAATATAAAAGCTTAACAAAGCACATTCAAAAGTGCTGAAATACAAGTTTTCATCCAACATTTGTATTTAGTTTGCTTAGAAAACAAGAAAAACATAGCAGGGCGTTCATCACTTTTTAAATGTCAGCCTGTGAGCTTTGTTTACATTCTTATTGTGTATAAAAGTTGCAGCCAAAAAGAGGCTTAACTTTCAGAACAGTGATATAAACCCCATTCAGCCTGCGTTAAGAGGGATATGCTGGTGTACTAAGAGCACGCAAAAAC